TAGCTTTCAGAGTACAGGTATTTTGCCTTCTTAGGTAGGTTTATTCCTAGGTATTTTATTCTTTTTCATGCGATGGTAAATGGGATTGTTTCCTTTATATACATACTACTATATATAAAATAGATGACCAACAAGGGCCTCCTGTATAGCACTGGGATCTATACTCAAAATCTTGCAATAACCTAAAATGGAAAAGAATCTAAAAAAGAAAAAAAAAAATATATATATATATACACACACATACATCTGAATCACTTTGCTATACACCTGAAACTAACACAACATTGTAAATCAACTATATTTTAATTAAAAAAATTTTTTTAAAGACCCAGTTCAAATACCACCTCTTCTTTAAAGTCTTTGCCAGCCGCTAAATGAGGGCAACCAACCATTTCTGTTTGCACCTGTTGTCCTGGAGTAATTACTGAAAGCAGCACACTGACTTCCCCAGGGCCCCGCTGTGGATGATAAATTATATGACCCTCCTATCTAAAATCTACCCTGACCCAAAGACAGCACTCGTTACTTGTGTAACTGTGTCTTTTGCTAAAGCGTGTGTTCCTCAAGAGCAATCAAGCCATCTTATCTCAGTATGGACTTCCAGCACCTGAAGACTGCTGCACCTGGGGAGGTGCTCAATGAACACTGATGGAATGAAAGAATGAATCTGATACGAAGAAAACTGTAGCAATCAGTTTTATCTAAACTTCATCTAAAAGGCCAGTGGGGAAAATTTCTAAATCAGAATTAGATCCAAAAAGTCCTGGGCCAAAAATTCAGGCCATGAAAGCATTTGTCACGTAAACCATTTCTTTCCGTAATCCAGTGTTTCTCAACTTTTTTTCAATATTGTCCTCCTGCCCCAGGAGCCTTTTTAGACATTTTTTTTCCTAACCACATTCCCCATGAAATGTTAATAGCACAGAGATATATCTGTACTTTATACATAAAAGAGCAAGTATAAAGTTTATTCTTCTTATATAATAATGGGTTCAGAATGGCAATAAAAATGTTAAGTCATGTTTTAAAATTTAAAGCTATTAACATTAAACTTTGTATTTGCTGAGTAACTTTTAATGTAATTTTAATGTAAAAATGTGATGTATCAAATTATACATAAAAATTGCCAATTTCTACATAATAATAGCAATGTAACCAAATTTTTCAAACTTTCAAAACTGCTATTTTTCCAGAAAAGGTAAAACAACTGAAAACAAAATCTTCTTAAAAGTTATTTTTCATGAACTTAACTCTTGTTTTATATGAGAAAATAATTTTTAACTTATCCAGCTGCTACATATTCCTTCAGATATCATCAATAGTTTCTCTTTTCAATACTTGGCATAGTTTTAGTGGGTTGAATAATTCTAATAGGATTAAAGAATAAAATATAAAGTACTTTTATTTAATTTTCAAATCCCAAGTCACACACAAAGTAGTGTGGGTCAAACATAAGCACTTAACAACCACAAGGCAGCCAAAGGCAGCCCTAATGGATAAGGAAGTCACCAACAGAGATATGGCTTCAGGATCAAGCTATTGATGGACAGAAAGTTCTCCAGTCATAGCCATCTAGTTGCCATAGGTTTGTAGTAATGACCCTGCATACATTCTGTATATCTTCCATGAACTCAATGTCAATGTTGCTTGTGTAATACCCAAGAAAAACCAATGAGAGAAATTTAAATGTTAAGAAGTAAGATTTTGCCCACCAAGCTTTGAAGGGCCACAAACCACTGGAACATCTGAGAAGTTTCTGCCTCCCTCCAGAACCAATTTTTGCCACCCCTGAGGCTGCAAGCCCTAACCTCTGTGTTCCCACGTTTACCCTCCTAGCACTTAGAGAAAAAAACAAAAAAAACAAAAAACACCAGTTTACCTAAGAAAACACCCCATCCCACAACGATAATAAGGGCCCCTCTACTACCATCATCTCCTTGGGTACTTTTAAAGAAAAGGGATTCCCATACTATTAGCCTTTCTCCCAAACAAAGGAGCCCCCCACCTCTAAAAGTGTAGACTTTTGGAGCTGGAAGAACACTCAGGGCTCATAGAGCCCCTCCATCTTCAGATGAGGAAACTTAAAAGAGCCCTAAGAGGTAGAGAGACTGGCTCAATCAAGGTCACTATATTGTTATAGACAGAGACCTTGTCAGCCTGGGTCACTGTTGTATCTCCAAGCTAGGACATAACACAGTCAGATGTTTGCACACTTAATGAATGAATGGCTATTGGGCAAATTAGTGACTGAGCTGAGAGCCCAGTTCACCTAATTCCTAACCTACCACTTTTCCAACTACACCAATTTGTCCCTTTTTACTTTCCTAGCATATCAAATAGTGGCCTCAAAGACTATCAAATTTATATTGTTTGAAAAACTTCCCAGCTCTTTTAGTTTCACACATCCAGAAAGTTGAAGAGCAGGGTCTTGTGCGCTTGTGGTAGAGTGCTTCAGCCCACTGAAAGTGAAGGACTTTCCACAAATAAGTCAAGGGTACCCGGTTGACAATGCATCACTTCTTACTTGCTTACCCTGCCTTGATCTCTTTTCTAGAGTTCTTGTTCACGTGCCATATCTCCTTACCCAGACTGAGAACCGTAGAGAGCCAAAACTGCCTTCTGTTTCTAAGACACCTACTAAGTTTAAGCACGAAGCAAATGTTCAATAAATGTTTGCAAAATTTATTCCAATGGAAATGGTGCACCATGAGGAACAAAAGTGGATTTGGCATGAACAAAAAAATTCTGATTGTACTTTGCTCATTTCCTAGGACCAGTAGAGTACCTAACATGTAATGGGAGCCTAACAGTTACTGAATTTTAAAAAACAAACGAAAGATATGGCAAAAACTGAGACGTTATTAAGCACAGTCTTCATTCATTCAATAAATTCATTGAATTTATTCATTCAATAAATACGTATTACCAAGTATCTGTGTGCCAGGCTCTCTGCTGCTCTAAAACCTAATTTCCCCCACAGAGCCAGAGCCCTCCTGCCTAGCAAACGCATGGCATTAGGTTCACCTTGCAGGCTGTGGGCACAGCTAGGGTAGCCATGTCTCAATATGCCCAAGACAGTCCCAGTTTACACCTACTGTCCAAGTGTTCTCTCCCAACAATGCCCTGGTCTAGACAATTATATCACCCTAAGTGTAGCAAATCTTTTTCAACAAGAAGCCCAGGGATTCAAAAATTTCACTCCACATTTAGTAGCTACTCGCAGTCCCTTTCTTTTGTCTGTGCCATGCAGCATGTGGGATCTTAGTTCCCCAACCAGGGATCGAACGCATGCCCCCTGCAGTGGAAGGGCAGAGTTCTAACCACTGGACTGCCAGGGAATTCCCTACTCCCAGTCTTGTTTCCTTATTTCTAATACAGGCATAACACATTAAACTAAATGGTTATAAATAGAAAAGTGGCTGGGAACAAGGCTGGGACATCAGATTGAGACTACACTGTAGAGAGCCTTGCATGCCAAGAACACGGATACATAATTTAATATACAGCAGGGAGCGATAAGAACCTTTAAAGGATAAAGTGAATGTATAGTCAAAGCACTATGAGTGTTATGATGTTGGTTACAGAAAAGATCTAAGACAGGAGGAATGAAAAAAGCCAGCTCCAGGTCGTACCAAAAAGACAGCCTAAGGCTGTAAATAAAGAAAGGCTGTCACAGATGAAAACGGCAACAAATATGCTATTTCATCATTTGCCTTTATGTGTAATTTTAAAATTTCAACAATAGATGCAGCTATGCAAGCTCTAGTTCATTGATCTGTGGTCCTGATACCCTCCTTGGAAGGCACATGTTGTAAGGAAGCTTCTGGACAGTCAGGCTTGCCCTCCTGTCGGCCAGTCGTGTAAAGGAGCTGGAGCTCGGTTTTTGTTTTATTTTAAGTGCTACATTTCAAACATAGTATTCGTTCTCAGAAGAGTTTCCCGACACTGAAAGGGATGGACAGGAAGCTTAACCCGCCAACTCCAGATCTTCCACTATTGCATCATTTGAAACTAAGCCTCCTCAGGCAGCGACTTGTAAAATTCAAGTCAGGTAAAATGGCAGCAGCAGCCGCTGTGGGTGCTGCTCCTGCGGCCGCCGCCGCTGGCCTCAACTTCAAGCGCCGGAGAGCGCGTCTCTCCGGAGCTGCCAACTGCTCAAAGGAACAGTCGATAAATCAACAGGTCCTGCTCGCCCGCCCGAGGGTGCTCAGACCCGGGCGCGCCAGCCACAGAAGGAAGTGGCTAATTATTTAAAGACAGTCGAGACCACTAGAGGCCGGAGTCGGCTCTCCAAGAGCCTTCCCTCCGTCCACCACCCACACTGGGAACCTGCTGGGAAAAGGCCCGGGCCCCGTACACGGAGGGGAAAGCACCAATTCCTGGGCTGCTGCTCCAGGTCCCTAGCCTTCCAGCCCCTGGGCAGCCCTGCACTGCCCGCGGGTGCAGACACCCCGAGGGCTCCTTTTTCCTCCGACTGTCCCCCTCCTCTCATCGATTGCAAGCCTTTCTGTTCTGCCACTGGAAACTTCCAGAGAAGGTGAAATTCCCAGGTCAAGAGACGATTCTACAAACTCTAAAGGGCCAATGTCGGGACTTCAGAGTCAGACCTCATAAAGCCTAGGCGTCCCTAGTGAGGCTCAGTACTGCTCTGTAACTGCGGGTCCTGCGCTCCCGCGCGTTCGCACCCATCCACCCGCTGGCCGGACGTGGTGTCCTCCGATCCGCAAGAGCCCACGATGCCGGCGCCCGCAACTTCAGCAGCGCCTCCGCTCCGAGAGCCGCAGAGACACTCCTCGCTCCAGCGAGGACAGACCTCCCAAGGCCTCGTGTCCCCAGCCGCAATCCCTGTCCCTTCCCCCGGGCGAGAGGCTGCAGGTCCCAGACGGGGAACCAAGGGGGCGGAACCTTGACCGTCCCTGCCGGACTCGCTCAACCCTGCCGAGCTCGCTCATTCCTCCCGGGCTCCAGGGGCAGTTCCCACACTCCCCACCAGCCAGTACCTCGTCCGCTTCCAACTCTGCTCCGTTGCCTACGAGCGCCATGTTCCTCCTCCGGCTGCCGCCGCCCAGAAACCAAACAGGGAGCTCAGAGCCAACTCAGTTTCTCGGCTCCGGGCTCAGCCCAGCGCCAGCAAAGGAGGAAGAGGGTGCCTCCGCGCTCCCGCCGGGTCCCGGGCGGGGCCAGCGCGCCGTTGGGCGTGTGCTTTCCCCGCCCCCGGCGCCCGCACACCAGAAGAGCATCCATTCCCCGAGCCGGCGCCGGGTGGCAGGCCTCTACACAAGCTCCGCCCCCTGCAGGCCTCGCCCCGCCCTCTACGCGGCTCTGACTAGAGCAGCCAATCAGATTCCCCAACGCTTTTCCGCCTCCAGACGGCATCCACTTAGGATCCACATGGGAGGGGTCATTGCGTGGGCGGGGTCACCTCGTGGGCGGAGTCACTGGCGAAGTTCGCTGGTCTGGCCCACTCTCTGGAAAGGCACCTGAGAGTACCAGCTACCAGTACTCTGTGGGGAGGCCTGGAGCCAAGAGAGCGCTGGGTTTACGAGGCCAACCAAGGTCAAAGCCACCTAACCCTGATGCCCCTTTGAACCGTCCACCTGGTCTCTGGGCCAGTGCCAGTCCCCTTCCCTCGCCAGGTGCGCACTGCATCTCGCAGATGGTGAGGCCAGAGAGCAGCCTTGAGTCAAGGTCACAAGTCACCCAAAGGTCTCTGTCATTCCACCTGTCCAGACACTAAGTCAGGGACATCATCTTCAGATACAGGAATGCTGTGTTTGCTTCTGTGTATGGTTGAAAAATAACAGAAAAACCACAGGACATATATTTATACAACTTAGAGCTCCTCTACCCCTCCTCCCAATATCCTGTCACGATGACCCATTTTGTAACCCCAAACATATGTGCATAATTCGTGCTTGAACTATAAGATCCATGAGGGTACGGATGCTGTTTGTCTTCTTCAAAACTGTATCCCCAGCACCTAGAACAGTGCCTTACGCGTGGTAGATGCTCAACAAATATTTGTTGGCTTCGTTTAGAAATTGATTCCTGCGTATAACATGTAAGGTAACTGAACTATCCAACTGAAAAATTATAAGGGTATTTGGTGGGGGGGGGGGTTGGTCAGCTTTATTTTACATACGATAAAATTCACCAAGTTTAAGTTTGTAATTTGATAACAGATGTTTACAAAACACCATTCCAATCATGAAAACACACCCAAAAAGTTCCCTGTGCCTTTTTGCTGTCAATTTCCTTCCCCCACTCCCTGGCCTCTGGCAACCACTGATCTGCCTGATCTGCTTTCTGTCACTCTCATTTTTTTTTTTTTTTTTTTTTTTTTTTGCGGTACACGGGCCTCTCACTGTTGTGCCCAGCCGCTCCGGGGCATGTGGGATCTTCCCGGACCGGACCGGGGCACGAACCCATGTCCCCTGCATCAACAGGCGGACTCTCAACCACTGCGCCACCAGGGAAGCCCTGTCACTCTCATTTTGCCTTTTCTAGAATTTCATATAAATTGTATCACAGAGCACATGATCTTTTGTGTCTGGCTCATGAAGGGCTATTTAATGGTCATCCAGTGACAATTATAAAAATTGCTAACATTTATTGAGTACTTATTATGTGCCAGGATTATGCTGGGCCCCTTGCATAAATTATCTCCTTTACCCTTCATAACCCCATGAAGTAGGTGCTGTTAACTTACAGATGAGTGAAATGAGGGTCAGAGAGTTTAAGTAGCTTGTTTGAGGTCAGACAGCTATTAAGGAAGTAGGGATGCCAGAATCTGAACTTCAGCAATCTGACCTTAAGGCGTGGTGGTAACCATTGTTCTGCACTGCCTCCAGCCACCACCTTCCCTTTCTTTCTCCCTATTTGTTTCAGTAGATCAGCTGCCTGCACATGTCTATTACACATACTTTCAGTGAGTCACCTTAGCATCCTTGAAACTTGCTCTACAATTTTAATGTGTCACTGTGTACCTTTACACTAGAAAAATAAAATGGCTTCTACCCCACAAACAACATGGAAAAAAATGGATTAGATTATGGTGATGATTGCACAACTCTATGATTTACTACAAATCTTTGAAGTGTATAATTATAATGGGTGAGTTTTATGGTCATGTACATTATATTTCAATAATGCCACTTTTAAAAACAGGTTAACACATTCTTTCAGCACTCTTAGAATCAGATATGTGGAGCTAGAAAGGACCTAGGGGTCATTTAATTCCAATACACCTGAAAGTTTCCATTCCTCCCCCAACCTCCTGTTTATGCTTAGCTTTCTGAGGCTGGATTTCCTGTCAGGATCCAGATTCCACTCTGTATTGCTCATGCATGATTCTGTTTTTTAAAGTTCTAAAATTTAGTTGGCTTCTAAATTAATATCACATTATTTGACATTAAACCATCCTGTAGTGGCTTCTTCCTCTCTTGTATGCTTTATTATTGTCTTTCAAATTTCAACTCCTCAAATTTTGAAGAGGTACAAAAGAACTTGGCACTAATTAGTGGCATGACTATGTTATAGTGAGAATCAAGTTTAATTTTTCAGAAATCATTCTTTTTTTTTTTTTTTTGCGGTATGCGGGTCTCTCACTCCTGTGGCTTCTCCCGTTGTGGAGCACAGGCTCCAGATGCGCAGGCCCAGCGGCCATGGCTCACGGGCCCAGCCGCTCCGCGGCATGTGGGATCTTCCCGGACCAGGGCACGAACCCGTGTCCCCTGCATTGGCAGGCGGACTCTCAACCACTGTGCTACGAGGGAAGCCCCCAGAAATCATTCTTATAGATAAAAGCTGGTAATTTTTTTTAAATGAGAGATCAAATCTGAAGCCCCGTATACTTTAATAACGATTAACTTTATTTATTTTGGGCTGCATTGGGTCTTCATTGCTGCACACAGTCTTTCTCTAGTTGCGGTGAGCAAGGGCTACTCTCTGTTGCGGTGCACAGGCTTCTCATTGCAGTGGCTTCTCTTGCTGCGGAGCACAGGCTCTAGGCACGCAGGCTTCAGTAGTTGTGGTGCGTGGGCTCAGTAGTTGTGGCTCACAGCCTTAGTTGCTCCATGGCATGTAGGATCTTCCCAGACCAGGGCTCGAACCCTAGTCCCCTGCATTTGGAGGCGGGTTCTTAACCACTGCGCCACCAGGGAAGTCCTGCCCTGTGTACATTTTTTTTTTTAACATCTTTATTGGAGTATAATTGCTTTACAATAGTGTATTAGTTTCTGCTTTAAAACAGTGAATCAGCTATACATATACATATACCCCCATATCTCCTCCCTCTTGCATCTCCTTCCCACCCTCCTTATCCCACCCTTCTAGGTGGTCACAAAGCACCCAGCTGAACTCCCTGTGCTATGCGGCTGCTTCCCACTAGCTATCTATTTTACATTTGGTAGTGTATATATGTCCATGCCATTCTCTCACTTCGTCCCAGCTTACCCTTCCCCCTGCCCGTATCCTCAAGTTCATCCTCTACATCTGCATCTTTATTCCTGTCCTGCCCCTAGGTTCTTCAGACATTTTTTTGTTTTTTTAGATTCCATGTATATGTGTTAGCATATGGTATTTGTTTTTCTCTTTCTGACCTACTTCACTCTGTATGACAGTCTCTAGGTCCATCCACCTCACTACAAATAACTCAATTTCGTTTCTTTTTATGGCTGAGTAATATTCCATTGCATATATGTACCACATCTTCTTTATCCATTCGTCTGTTGATGGGCGTTTAGATTGCTTCCATAACCTGGCTATTGTAAATAGAGCTGCAATGAACATTGTGGTACATGACTCTTTTTGAATTATGGTTTTCTCTGGGTATACGCCCAGTAGTGGGATTGCTGGGTCGTATGGTAGCTCTATTTTTAGTTTTTTAAGGAACCTCCATACTGTTCTCCATAGTGGCTGTATCAACTTACATTCCCACCAACAGTGCAAGAGGGTTCCCTTTTCTCCACACCCTCTCTAGCATTTATTGTTTGTAGATTTTTTGATGATGGCCATTCTGACTGGTGTGAGGTGATACCCCATTGCAGTTTTGATTTGCATTTCTCTAATGATTAGTAATGTTGAGCATCCTTTCATGTGTTTATTGGCAATCTCTATATCTTCTTTGGAGAAATGTCTGTTTAGGTCTTCTGCCCATTTTTGGATTGGGTTTTTTGTTTCTTTGATATTGAGCTGCATGAGGGGCTTGTAAATTTTGGAGATTAATCCTTTGTCAGTTGCTTCATCTGCAAATATTTTCTCCTATTCTGCGGGTTGTCTTTTCGCCTTGTTTATGGCTTCCTTTGCTGTGCAAAAGCTTTTAAGGTTCATTAGGTCCCATTTGTTTATTTTTGTTTTTATTTCCATTTCTCTAGGAGGTGCCGCCCTGTGTACTTTAAATTCACCCCACTAGATAAGTACCATTCCTGTTTCTAAGGGAGCCAATTATGAACACTGAATGAATAAGTGTGCTCTAGCCACTGGAACATCTTATCAAATTTGCTGCGCTCATGGCAGATGCCAACTTCCCCTTCCCGCACATGTGTGATTCCTCAAGATTATGAATCACAAATATAAAACAGATTTTTTCAAATAATAATTAGAATGAATTCATTTTTGTAACAGAATTCCCCTTGCCAGTTTGCTGATAATGACGTACTCTATCAGTCAAATGAGATTAGTCAAGTATTCCATTTCCCAAAAAAACCTAGCATAGGGGTTCAGCAACAGCAGTGTCTGAACTTGTTTCATTTTGAAGATACATCTACTGGTAGCTGTTTAGGTTTCAGATTAAATCTAATATTGCAGACAATCTAACCGTTAGTATTCTTAAACCTGTTACCCTTAGCAGATGTAAGGGTTTTTTTGTTGATACTTGATTCAAATAAAAATTGCCTCTTTATCATTTGTGTCATAGGAGAGAGAATGATTTTGCACTTAGAAATTAAAATTTTCAGGTGCTTGTATCATTGTAAGTCATGTATTTGTCAATGGCTTTGTCTCACATTCATATCTTAGCTCAACATGGGAACTTCCCCTTCTAAATTACCCCTCCCTCTCCATCACCTACTATCGTGTCTTCCTACTACCTCTTAGCATTTGTCACTATCTGAAAATATCTTGTTCATTTACCTGTTTACTTGCTTATGGTCTATCTCCCTCA